GTAAATATCAGGTTACGCTTGTACGCTATTGGGGCAAAACTTTTAAAATGCAGGTATTGCCCTGACAAAATTTTCTTATGGTAGGTACTTCTAGGCAGTGGTTCGNAGTGGTTCGTCAACCCGTCGTTCTATGAGCACGTCTAAGAACGGCAAAACTCCATTTGTTTCCCTTTCGGTCGTAAATGTGATATTTGTATGTAACGTGTTCAGGTTTTGAAACACTTCATTCATCTGCCGCTCACTCTTACAAATCAGGAAGGTATCACCAATATAGCGCCTATACACCCGATTCTGTGCGCTCAGAAGCAGATAGTGGTCGCATTAGCCTTATCGTGGAGTTAATCTACCCTCGCCCCACCCTATCCTTTACCCATCGCCTCATCATTGTGACTTTCGTTCTCTTCTCCCTGCCCCATTCACTCCTAGCATCCATCCACACACACCAATTCCACCTCTCTTATTTCACACCTCCAGTTGGATAATGAATCGCAACTTTTGTTCTTGATAACAGTCAAAATGGAATTAGCAAACCTGAGTCAAAAATTCCGTTACTCATGACATGACTGTTGAGACTTCTTAAAGACGAGTGAAGTGCATTCATCTGGCTAAGGTTTGTTCTGTTGTTGATCTATTCTAACCAGCGGCATATTCAAATTCGCAAGAACGAAGAACATATAACAGATACTTCACCATTCGATATCACCATCAAGCACTTTGATTTGCGAATTATGAACTGCAAGGCGAAGAGTATCAAGGCAGATATCCCTCATAATAGGTATCAATGCACAAGAGGACGAGAAGCCTGACGCATGAGGACACAAAGGGCTTAACAATAAAAACTAGTTGCATAATAAGGGTCTGGTTGGTATTAGAGACGTGGTAAACACAAATCTAAGATTAACTTGAAGAAAACAAAGAAAATCATACCAAAGTAGTTGTGTTCAGTATAGCTTCTTGTGAAAAGTTGATTATCGAAACCATTGAATTAGTTGGTGCAGAACCGACAAGAAAACTGATGCAAACACCGGATTTACCTGCAGTAATGTAATTGACAGCAGGTGAGTGATGTCCAAGCAGATAAATTAGGAAAACGAAACTCAAAGAAATACCACAACGCCTATCGATTTTATTTTTAATTTGGAAATTCATGAGCGAAATTAAACAACAGGAAACAAATTGTCGACAAAATTACCATGAATTGCATTCTCAGTGAGACGGAGGAGATCGGGGCGTAACTTCATCGGACCTGCCATCAATGCGATAGTGATGGGCGACACGACTGTCACACAGCGAACCAAACCCAGATCTGTGCTGAACTCATCGTGTTGCTGTCGTTGAAAAGTGGTATTTGATGTCCTGATCGGGTTTGCGTTTGAAATCACTGAAAACTAGAGGATTCTATTAGGATTATTTGTCAAGCCTACTGGTTGGGAGAAATTCTTCGCGGCAGTATTCATGGATTTATATCTTCTATGTTTGGAAAGCACGAGCATCTCATCGTAAACCAACCATTCACAGGGAAGAATGGAAAAGTTGACCGGAGTTCCGTCCGCGTTTGTGGCCAACACCGATTGTGGGTGAAGTTGAACCTAATGGAGTGGAGATCAGGCGTTATTTTACAGAACATGTATAAGAATATATTGATAAACAGGAAGTTCCATACTAGACACATAAATAAGTCTGAAATTCGGATAAAGAAAAATCAGAAAACAGGTACTATTCACGCTTCAAACGATCATGGATAGGAGTTGAAACGAACACCTAAAACCTTTGAGGTAGCTTTGGCATTCAGTTTCATTTGTCCTAATACGAACTTTTCGTGCATATGAATGGAATGAATATGAATTACTGAGAATCATGGCTCATCGGAAATTCTGTTCGACATTCAAATAATCATAGGCTTACTGTCAGATTGAGAGAAGCTTTCGTAGAACACAATTTGTTTTTATCCCGATCAATACGAACAAAGTTCGCATGCATACCAGCCACTATAGCGGCTTTAACAACGGCCCAATTCTCCGAGTTCGTATTCAAATCACGAATATCCCCGCTCCCCCGAGCCTTCACAAATCCCGATGCGCGAAGTTGGCCAAGCAGTTGAGTGCTGAGATGCGATTAGTTCAAGAAATTGAGGGGAAAATGTAGGTAGACATCAATTTGAGGAACATAACTCTGGAAACATTTAGAAAACAACCCCAAATAGAATTGGTATTCTACTCAGAAATATTTTCACGTTTATCGCCTTGATCCAGTATTTTAATAATGCATAACAGAAAATACTTTATTTTATAGCCAAAGTTCTATTTTGGAAAATACTTACGAGCGGTTGCTTTTCTTGTTCCGTAGAGGTTCTCGTACAACTGCATAAATCATTCCATCAAATAGAGATCAGGAATATCACAAATATTCATTGTTTTCTGTACTGATACGGATGAAGAAATTTAATAGATGACAATGAGTTATCTGGGCTGTGCCTGAAAGGAACTATTGTGGAAGTGAAAGTAAGGTGAGATGGGAGGGAATTTCAAATGACGCTGATATTTTAGTCAACTGTTTTGGAGCATTAACCTGATTAAATCCCCCCTCCCCACCACTTCGAGAGGAATGTTGAGAAAAAGTGAAATTTCAGTAAAACATAGATAATTCAAACGTGAACAGAAGTAAATAATCAGTCACTCGTCGATGTGTATTTTGGATATTTATTCACATATTTTGGTCGTCGTTCTTTTGTCAACAATTATATAATGTTCCGATTAACTATGATGAAAATCGGATGTTTGGGAGCTTACACGGCCATCCTGCTCGCAGCCCTTAATATCGAAGGTTGACTGATTTTTTAGGATGAATTTTGCAGGTGTGACCGCTGATGAATGCCGTGGCTTCATGGAACCACAAGTGAGACCTCGGTTCGTAACAGAGATCAGAGAGAAAAAAGGTGTTCCGAGGAGACACGGCAGTCTACTAGATAAGGGATGGTACTCTCAAGCGATCCACCCCATTTCTTTGCGAAGTGGAGTGGTGTATGACTGAAGCCAAAAATGATAAACGCAAACGATAAGAGCTCACCGAATAACCGTAATAATTTCAAAGGCGGCGGTGGAAATAAAATTTTTCTGACAAAAACTCTTCTCCCATCCTTCGGAACGAGCCTTCTGCCAAAACTAAAAGTGAATAACCAGAAGAAAAAACATCGGTTCAGTTCAGTCAAAGTTAGCAGCACTAAGTCATTACCACTACTCAGTTATAGCAACGACACTCACTTGAAATGCACGTAAAAGCATCATGTGATCACTCAGGGTGTCAGCCGAGAATTTCTTTCGTGCATTAAGCATCTCGCGACGTTCGGTTGCATTCTTCGGGATAACAACTAAAGGACGATAAAGGAAAGCGAAAGATGTAGGATCAAATGATACAAGTAGAGAGGTATCAACGCAGCTGAGGAACTACGTACTAGCAAAAAGATGAGCGGAGTACGACAGCGAGACTGCATTCAAAGTTTGAACATAACTTACTCAAGAGATTCTGATTCAAGGTGAACGGCTGTTATTAACAGAGTGTGTACATTATCTTTTCAACTTCGAAGACCTAGGCAGTTTAATGCCAAGCAAAAAATCATTTCACTTTTTGTTTATCAATGTGTTTTCCCTGTTCTTCTTTATTGTTCCCCGGTGGTTTTTGCTGGTCTACTAAAGAAAAACTTCAAAATTCTTCGTCGAGGTTTGTCGATCATCAGTCGTGTGTCTTTTATACCCATTGATGAGCTATCTAAAAAATTGTGTGAACTTCACTTGTCCACATGTAAAACATGTGCTCAGAAAATCCTCGCTGACCCCAACCATCCTTTACATGGCGATTTATCTAAATGCTGCTCTCATACGTCTACACGTTCTTTTTATCGATTATTACCCTATCGCATTAGGCTCTACATAAATACCCCAGTTCAATATCTTGCTAGAATCCTTTTAAACCAAGAGCGCGCTTCCTCAGAATTTCTTAGTAACCTTAAAGGTTAAATATTTTACTTGTATCTTTCTTTCTATTGATGAGATGTGTAATTTTTGACTGAAATGCGAACATTCCGTCCGCGCAAACGTCTATACAAATACATCGCAACTACTTCAAGCACCAAATTAAACAACGAGTCCATACGCTTGCAGCCCTGAGCACACGCGAATATATGGACACTTATCTGTTCTTAGGTAAACATTACCTGATCTGATTATTTAATTGATGATAGGGTACCGTTGAGTGCAGATCCAGGTAAGTTACAAACTTTTATGGATGGATTGAGTGGTAGTGTGACCGTGTTTGGGGCAGGTTGGGCACCTTCAAAGTATACCGAAATTCCCTATTTTCGCATTGTCACTGGTTATAACATTCAAACCTCATCCCTAATTCTTCATGAAAACGAGTAGTCAAAAAAGAACCAAAACTGCCGCATGATACGTGGTTTCCTGCAGTAATAAAACATAAAACGTTTGAATGTGAAAAGACCAGTGCTATCGATGTGGCCTCGTAGCTCAGCTGGTAGAGCATGCGCGTACAGAGCGCAGGCGACTTCCATGCGTGGGTTCGAATCCCACCGAGGCTACTGAGATTTTCACAATTGCCATAGAAACTTCAAATCTGCCAAACATCCATTTGCATAAAACGTCTTGTCAAAATTGTGGTGGTGTGGTAGGATTTACATAAACCTTCTCTCCAATGTAGTTCCTAGTTTTGACATGAATGTATTATTCTAGAATGAGCCCCAACGGACCTCCTGTAGTTTCACTATCTACCTCTTTTTAGATACTTCGTAAGGAAAGGAACTGGGAGTGCAAACGCATCAATTCAGCAAGGTTTTCAAAGCACGCGTAAGAAACCGGTTTGGCTGGTGTGGCTACCTACAGTGTTTACGGTTTCCTTCATCGAGAAGCCAGTGATCAATGATGTGGTATCACAGAAGCATAGGAAACAGTTGTGATAATTCAAGTTCGTTGGGATTCTTTTTCAATTGAAATTATTGTTTTAGTCCAAACATCAGCAATGTCGCACCTGTCGAAGCAATAAGTTTGAATAACCATTGAGAGAGCTTGTGGTGGCGAGAGTAGACAATGGACAAGATTCGTGGTAATGGGATTCCCAAATCGGGCAATATCGGCAAACCGTACTTTCATGCAATGAGTGTGCGTTTCGAAGTCTCAGTTCAATGAGAGAGTTCATTGCGCCTGTTCGCCGAGCGTGACAATTTGTTTGCAAACGTTTCATCACCAGCCGGGATGACATCATCAGTGCTTGTGAAGAGTTTTTATCAATCACACCTTTCCTCCAAAACCTCTTCATGGACCTTTTTTCTTTTTCATAAAGAATATTATACCGTGATTTGTTTGGCACGGTCTGAACTCAGGAGTGTCCAAATAAATAAATAAATAATCACTGTGACATAGATGGTCTTTTCTAGGCCTCAGCTATGTATCTAGGTTTCGGATACAATTAATTTTGAGTATGAGCCATAAGTACTGCCTCCGGGTTTCCAAACATCTTATCAAGAATGATAACTTCGAACTTTTATTGGGTTCCACTTGCTAAATTTACCTGTTCCGTTTCTCCTCGTTTATCGCGTTTATGTGATTTTGCGTAATTGGGTTGTGGTGACAGACTTTGGTGAGCTAGATCTGCAAGTTCAACGTTAAGAAAGTCGATTGCAACCATTGATTTCCTCCACAAACCGTGAAGAAGGGATTTTCTGACTTGATCAACAGGGCTTCAAGAACCGCCACTAGTTGAGTAGCCGTATTTTGAATAAGCGTTTCAGGTGAACTAGATAGGCTGTTACAAACAGATACCGAACTTATGACCAATATGTGTCATGCGCAGTTCAACTTGGAAAATGAATGCACGAAAGTGCATGGATAATCGTAAAGACTGAAACGTCTGCTTCGGCGCATGTACACATCGAGTAACTGCAATTGGAATGATGAATGACGTTGAAGCACCGAGAGTAATACAAATCTAGTAATACGTATAAAATTTCAAATAACCAGCGGTTCAAGCGATGCTTAAAAGGACGGTCAAGTATTCTCTAAGTCACAGTGTATAAATGTAAATCTTCACCGTAGCCGTGGGAAACGACAAACGAACAGCACGCATCTTGCAACGTTTATCTTTCTTCCGCTTTGATTCACCGGATAAAGGTGATAAAATGTTTCAGGTTTGACATGAACGCTCGAAGAATCATCACAGGTGAAGTAGACCAGTAGTTGCTCACATACGTTATATTGTTGATCAAAAGCTAATAAAAAATGGATACGATGATTAAAACAATAGAATAGAACAAAAATTTGACCTTCAGTGCTCCATACAAAACTTACACGGTTCCGCGTAGGTTAGAATGCACGCAATCGTCAGAATGGGATCGAGACATTTTAAGGCAACACTGACCAGGACCATTTTGGCATATCGTGGAGGAATGGGAATATCACATATGTGATATCCAAGTTCCGTCAAGTCTTGGAACGTATCCAAGGCGTCCATTTCCTAAGAGGGAGAGAATATTTCACATTGACAAGCGCTGTAAACATAATATCACATATGCCAAAGGACTCTTTATGCGCTGGAAACCGAAGGAGATTTATATCCTTANTACAAGAAAACATATAGACAGGATTGATATTGGTCATCGATTTGGTGTGCTCTCATTCGGCTGGAAACACTGGTGATGAGAATCTTACATGTTAATCATGAGAACTAACACCCTGTACGATTGAATAAGGCAATTGGGAATCCAACTCACGGAAGCGCTAACCGAAAAGCTTTTCAATCAGCGCTTTACTTGGAATTTATTATGTTTATACATCGGATATATATGTATATATATATGCAGGTGTATTGACAGCTACTTAGAGGGTAATGTTTGTGTTTGCGTCGTTATCCCTGTGTATGGTTCCACGGACTGCGATGAGAGTTCCTACTCACCATGAGGGATAGGATCGAATCACAGCAGGCAGCGGATTCTGGTGGTCTTGGAACGGCATCCAGTACGGTTTGTATAGAAACGTTAGCCGGAGCCAGGAGTCGCGCCTGGATGCACGCTTCCTATATAGAAGAACAAGCAAAATAAAAGTGTGATTATAAAAATAGCGAAATAGTAAGATGAAGCAGAATTTGAATTCAGAGGACAGATCACAAATAGCCTCGTGTCAATGACAAAATGCTTGGCGGCTGATGTGGCTAGTAGTCAGCAGAATAATGGAAACATGAATAACTCTTTATATCAAACAGTAACAGCACATTACAACGGGGTAATGCAATGTTTTACGTTCATCCAATTCCATTTTGGAAAATCCCATGACACAGCGGGAAGTCATTCACAAGGTGCCAGTGAAAACAATCTGTAGGTGCTTAGCTATTAAACATACATCAACTTTAAATGAATTACTCCATCTACAGAAACAATCAACTACTGTAGGGTTTCACATTAAGCTCTGGCCAAATGAACGAAGCCACACTATTCCAATTTTCTTAACAGTTCCAGAGAGCACAGTTCAAACAGTGATGGACAAGCTCCGTTTCAGTGATTCATAGTCAAGCCAATACATTACAAGGTTTAGGTATGTATCGGTATTCAGCAATAAAGCCAAACGATTAATTTGAGAAAGGGAAAATTATCATAGAATATTTGGGGTTAAGTTCGCCCTCGGGCCGGATGTTGAATTCCCAATGATTACATAATTGTTAGGTCATCCGATCGTTCAGACTACTCGGGATATGGGGTGTGTGGAGGGTGGACCAGGGAGCGGAATGCTTCGGTCACATTCACATGGTAATATGTTTCAGCTGGGTGAGAAACCACCGCTCTAGTGAGTGACCTAATCGCTTCTGTAATTAGCCATGCAGGGTGGTGATCACGGATTCGTTTGGACAAACGCCTGACCGTGCGGCCTATAAGTTCTTTTACAGGAACACGCAAATAAATGCACACAAAATGAGGCAGCAGAATCCGGCTGTTTGTCCTATAATCGTAAAAATACTATTGACTGGCATGTGATCAGCTCATTGAGCTTTGCTGCAAGAAGGTCTCAATAACAGCATCGGACAGTCTCCTTTGTATTACCTCTGCTGATGTATTCCCTTGAACGGCAAGGGAATGTATAAAGTCTTCCTTCTGGTCAACCATTGTGTGTGAAGATAGTATATACGTTCTTACGCATGTCTAAGAATTCAAAACATTTGTTTAATTCTTTGTCTTCAGCACCCAGCCCTCTCCATTTGCCCCTCCTTCAAACCTCTAATAGTCTTTCAGGCAACTTGGATGTCGCTTGCCAAAGGTCGTTGCCAAATAGCGCTGTAAGTATTGTACCACAAAGTGAATTTCATATTCTAAAGCCTCGTCAATCACTGAATCTGGAGGCCTTCAACCTGAGGACCCTGATGCAGGTAGGTAAACAAGCTTGTCTGGCTCGTACAATGGAATCGATATTTGCTGTGTGTCAGACTCGAATCCAGAATCCTACTAATATAAGCCACTTGAGCACATCAGATTTGTCTTCGCACATCAGGCGACGATGAAGCTCGTTCAGTAGGTCAGCGCGCGGTAGGTATTCTACTCAGTAACAGGGTAGAGTCCTTTCTTATCGACTGGATCCCCGTCAACAGTCGTTCATGCGTAGTGCGCCTCCAGGGTTCGATCAGCCTCCGGAAGGGAAGCAACAACAAAAGATGCTTGTTCATCGTATCGGCATATACACCGACCAATTGCAGTTTCGTTACCCACAAAACACTTTTTACGATGAACTCATCGATCGCATGCGGCTGAGTCGCAGTTCCGATATAGTTGTACTTGTAGGTGACGTAAATGCTCGAGTTGGAAAACTGTGCGCATCAGAAACTTGTCTAGGCGGAAGCTGTGCTCTACCCTGCCAACGAACAGATAACGGTGATCGACTTCTTTATTTCTGCGCGGATTATCAGCTGTTTCTATCTAGCCCCAACTTCCGACACAGCTCTTGACGGACGGCAACGTGGCGCCCTAGTTCAATTGGTACGCTGACTCAAATCGACCACATAGCAGTAAGTTACCGTTGGCGTGGCTCAGTACAAAAACTGCAGGTCCTATTGGACCACCTGCGTTGAATCTGATCATGCGTTAGGTTTGATGCACTTCACTCTCCAACTTACTGGTCGCAGAAAATCGCACCAAACTCAATTGATAGATCATTGCTTATCTAACCCAGCCGTTCATGCCCGTTTTGAATCGGAACCAGGGCAAGAGCTAAACGCACTACGGGGTGCTAGTATAAATGAACAATGGGATCAGATTCGCCGAGTAGGTCCTACTGGACCACCTGCGTTGAGTCTGACCACGCATTTGTTTTGAAGATGTTCACTCTCTGACTGACTGGCCAGGGACGAATTCGGCAAACTTGGATAGCTCATCATCGACTAGCTGTTCCAGCACTTCATGTGCTCTATGAATCAGAGCTAGTGCGTGAGCTAAGCGCCCCTCACTCTGGTGATGTAAATGAGCATTGAGATGAGATTAGCCGAGCAATGCACTCGGCAGTGAATGTTGCTTGCGGGTCTGAGCCTCAAGCTTGTCAGAACCAATAGATATCTCAGGAGTCAGTAGCCCTGATCGAGAAAAAACGACGATTCTCGACCTGCCAGGATCAAAACAGAGTTGTGTGGCATCTACAACGTCAGCTTACGAAGAGCCTCAAGAACGACCATGAGAACTGGTGGGCAACAATAGCTAGTGAAATGGAGGTAGCAGCTGCATCAGAGAATAGTTAAAGACGGATCCGACTGATACGCAATACAGGAGGGAGGTCGGCGAACTGCAGTGAGTGAAACAGTCTGTGATAAGACAAGTTTTTCAAAATAGGAATGAAGGACTTGATTGCTGGGCAGAATACTTCAGCGAACAGTTCAGCTGGCCTTCCGCTAACCCGGTTGCCTCATTCGCAACTAAATCTCCTTGGGCAGTGTCGTACGATCCTCCAACGGAAGCAGAATTTCGGTCATGCATTCAAGCTCTGAAGTGATAAGCTCGTAAGCTGTATTACTAACTAACTGCGCAACATTTGGACGCAAAAGCGCATTCCTTCATCTTGAGGCGAATCACTGATTCATTTTCAAGACGTCCGACGCCTTTAAGAGAGATCAACATCCGTGAACAGCAAGCCGGATTCCGGCCTGGCAGTGAACATATAGATCACATGTTTACGTTGCGCCAGGTCCATTAAGCTGTATCACACCCACCGTCGACCAAGGATCGCAGTGTTCCTTGACCTGAAAAGATCCTTCGACTCAGTTGACCACGAAGCTCTGATGGGCTCCCTTCTTCGAAAAGGAATGTCCCAGAAGTACGTTATCTTACTGAGGTCACTGTACTCCCATACCTCTGGTCGTGTAAGGGTCTATAAAGAACTAAGTAGGCCATTCGTTACGAATAGTAGTGTTCGTCAAGGATGCCCTGCCTTGCTGTTCCTATTCAATTTCGTCATAGACGAAATATTGGAGGACGCACTTAGTGGACTCCAAAACGTAGGTGTTGAATAAGCAGCTGGAGAAGAACTGTAAGATTTGGAGTACGCCGATGATATCGTCTGTCTTTTCGAATGTATGGAGGACGCGCAACGCACACTTGATAAACAAACAACTGCTGTTGCCTCATTCGGTATGCGTTTTGCACCTTGAAAGTGCAAAGTGATGCTACAGGACTGGGTGTCGCGTATCACAGCTATGAAACAAATGGTCAGGAATTAGTTACAGTGGATTACTTTTTCAACTTAGGTAGCTGCATGACCAATGAGGGTAGCGCGGTAAAGGCGATAACCACCCCCATTTCCAAGGCTCGAGCAGCATATGCAGGACTCAAACACCTTTGGCGTACACGCGACTTTTCCCCGAATTTGAAAGATCGTGTATATTGTACTAGCGTTCGTTCAGCTCTGCTTTATGCTTGTGAGACCTTAAATATGCGAGTGGAAGATATTCGTCGACTAGAGGTTTTCGACTATCGGTGTTTACGCAGTTTATCCCGCGTGGGATGGAGTGAATGGGTAAGTAACGTGGAGGTAAGCCGCCGTGTGTTTGGGAATCTATCGGGGATAAACGTGCTAGCTCATCAAATTAAGATTGGTAGACCTCGCCGGTTAGGACAAGTATTGCGTATGCCCAGCTATCGTCTGCCGCACCGCGCTTTATTCGCTATAGCTAATCCGGGCTGGAGGAAACCACGTCGAGGTCAACGGATGGTGTGGAAACGAGGCATGAAGAAAAGCATAGAGCCATTAGAGTAGGTGTCTCTCGCATTCTAGGTTGGGGTCTGAAATACTGCACAACCAGTTGGTTGGAGATATAGCAGCGAACCGACAGTAGTGGCGTTCTTGTTGCCATTTCTTATCAGGCCAGAACGCTTGAGACGGTATGTATGCAGAGTTCGATTGCGTACTGTGTTGACCATAGTGGTTCAACTTCTTCAACATCCCTCAAAGTAGGTCCAATCCCTGTCCACCTTAAATTTTATCACTAATCTTGTGTGCATTACGAGTTTGGCAGCTATCAGTGAAGTTCATTTCGCTGTATTTTGCTGTACGATGACGACGATGATGATGATGACTAGGAATCACTGAAACGGGCTTGTTCACCACACTCTGGTATAGTTGAAATGTGCTCTGAGGGACTGTTTAGAACATTGGAATAGTTTGACTACTTTACTTTGTATCATACATTCAAGAATTTCATAAGAGCGAGAACAAGCAACACCACAGAACAGTTTGATCAGAGCTAATGTGTAACACTACAGTTGTTTCTGTAAATGGAGTAATTCATTTTCCAATTTTATCGTAAAAAATATTCGACGGAGCACGCTGAGGAGAAAACACCCACGGGAAATAGAAGTTCGAAAGTTGTCGAAAAGCATCGAGAACATTGGAGTTCGATTGCGAGAGAAACTTTGGCACCAGCCGCCAGTCCTATGAACTGACCTGACCTGAAATCATATAGTCCTGTTTAGACGCTTCTCCACTACACATCATGAGCCGGGTGGATTAGGGCAAGGTATGACTTTCAAAAGTGGCTATTCGTGAACTATTTTCGAACAATCTTACTGTGAAACGAAGCTAACCGAATACCGAAAGGTGCACCAAAATGATAGGGATGCCCCAATTTCTCGATTTAGCCACACGAAGGGAACACCACCGCGGTCGTTTTTAAGACAGTGATTGCCAAAGCCACCACCAACCAGAAAAAGTGAAAATTTTTGATAACTGTGTGATTGATGGCACGTTTTTTCCTACCCTCTAATTAACCACCTGTTTTCCCATGTTCTTTTTCTGTGTTGAAATGAGACATCGTGTTCAGCTAGCAGAAGCACGTCGATTCGGTCGGCTGTTGGAACTGTGTGATATAAGCTAGAGGGGCCCGAAAAACCGAAACGGTGACATTGTCTTCTGTACGCTACAGCAAGTCTGGTTGCAGTTGTTCTGCCATTGATGATGAAACAATCACCAAGGCTTCCTTTATTAATTGCGACCAGAGATGCGTTAAGTGTTTGCGGTGTAGTGTTAGCAATGCACTTCTGATTACGGGGACCACGGGTTTACTTGAATAGTTGGAAAGCTCGTGTCGGACTTATTAGACGAACTTTGTTAACTTTAAAAATGTGGAATCAGAAATTTGACAAGTCCATTAAATAAACTGCGTATGATTAACGAATTCGATGCCTTCTAGTCCTCTCCATCTGGTGGGGAACTCTCTGAATCGTGAAGGTAGTGAGCAGGACATCATCAACGTTCTATCCTTTGGAGCATTTTGCAAGGTGGAGGGGGGTGACCAGTTATAATTCAAGGCACTCATCCCTACCATATTGCGTCCATATTTCCAAAAAGGCTTACTTCGATAAAGTGTCCCCAGCGCTGCACTTTACCACCATCGCGTAGATTTTCAAAACGAAAACGGCTGTACAGACGGAAGCAAAGTNAAACAGATGGATGATATGTGGAAAACCGACAAACATTTTTTAATTTTTTTGTTTCACACGTTCGTGCGATAAAAAACAGACGAGGTGAACCCCATAGTCACAACGACATGCCGTTTAGTAATGGAAACCGCGAACCTCAGCCCCGGGACTTGGAGCGGTGAATCACATAAGGCCCCTATAGGTTAGGCGTGGTATTGAACAGGACGATAGCAAAGCTGCCTACTACCATGTATAAGAAGAACACCGGAATATTGAAGACATATGGGATTTTAGTTGCCCACAAGCCAAATATGACCTTACAGGGGATTCTATACAAAACCGATCGAACAACAAAAAACCATGACACATCTCGTGTTCATTTCATTCTCAATCGGTTTAGTTCGAATAAGGAGCAGATGCTTGGCTAAAATGATATTGCATGACTACATCATACATCGAACGCTATAGTGCATACAACGATAATGGAAACATCGCTTCTAGATAATAAAATCGGCTAGTGATCATCGTTATACAATGATCACTGAAAACCCGGTCAATCAGAAGGGGTGAAAATATTTAACAATTGAGTTATTTTTAAAACATAATTTAGGCATATATCAAAAATTACAAGAAAAAGTAGAGGCAGTAGAGGGCAGCATATCATCCTCATCCTCATCATACAATGAGATACAGTAAAGTGAACTTCACTGATCCACGCCAAGCTCACAATTTACACAAATTAAGTGATTATGTTAAAGATGGACAGGGATTGGATCTAATTAGAAGGAGAGAGAAGAGAGTGAACCTCTGTGGTCAAAACACAGTACACAATCTAGTTGTGCACACATACCGTTTCAAGCATTCAGACCTGATAAGAAATGATAACAAGAATGCTACTGCTGACGGGCAGTATAGGGAGTATGTTTTGCTTCAAAACTATCATGCACTTCTGCGGGCTCTGCTCTAACCTGCTCATATAATTCTATGAACGCTACAAATTCACGACACAGCGACGGTAAGACTGCGATACCTGTCTCAACTAATGTGACTTGTCGACTTTAAAACGGGCTAGATAAAAGGTTAGAACTTAAAAACGAATGAGCACTGGTTATGGCCTGAGTGAGTTATGGTCTGACAGATCGAGTTGAGACATCCTTGATTTTCGATGATCCTCGGTTTATTTGCAACTATTCAATTTGGGTAAAACAAAGAAGGGGACATAATTTGGGATGGTATAATTCGGTTACAGGCTGCATCGCCACATGATTCACTATTTCAGTAAACAAATTATGAATGGCTTATGTGAGCCTGGCAATGGATACTAATTCCAATCGCTACTACCACCTTAATCTGACTGAACCGAACTAACAGTCGCCAGGTCCACCTTCGATGAGAAACGCGAGCCGTGACCTGAGCGATCTGTGCATCCGATTGACTGGATGATTACATAGAGGTTAGATGAACGTCAACAACCAAACCAACAAGAACCACGAGGTATATAAATTTGAAGTTACATTGAAAATTGATGATATTACCTAGTTTGTCTTTGCACAGCAATTGACTTTGATATCCAGTGGTTCCGTAGCACTGTGGTTTTGAAAGACGGAATGTAATCCTTCTGAAACAGGATAATAAAAGGCGGTAAAAACTATAAGAGCATATCCAAAGATATATACGATTACAGAAACTGGGGAAAACTATGTAAGGCCGTGGGCTAAAACGACAAAACAAAAACCTCAGTAGTTTAAAATCGGATTCGCCATTTCAAACGCGAACCCAAAACATCACACACAAAATTTAAAAAACCTGGTTACCGTAAACCGAATTTCCGACGCACATCAATAAAGCAGTACATTGTGAGTATTCGGTATACTATTTGGTTGTATAACAGAATAGAATGGATGGCAGTTTTCACATAACATAATACCGCTAACCAGATCAGGCTTTGGCTTGCCAAAGGCCCTAAATGTGAAATCACCAAGAAAATTGACTTGATTTTGCCTGGGCGATCTGGCCGTATTAAAACCGCTAGCAAATCATGAATCTTTTTCTTGGTTTTACGATTATTCTACCGTGACTGGTTTGACACACAGTTTAGACTCGGGTGCGTGTGAAATATGCTGACAATATAATTGGAAAGGCCTATTAGCCTCGTAAACGCGGGGCAGGCAGATCTGAAAAACGTGAATGAAAGCGCTGTGAACCTCGAGGAAAACTCGGACGTAACGGCAGTGCCACAGTTGTCGCAGGTCGGGGGGATCTACTCCATAGTGTGCTCCATAGTGTTTTGGAACAATTTAACCACCACCTAAACACCACAAAATTCCGTCAGTTTTGTACGAGTAAAACTCTCCTTTTCGAAAGTTCAATGTACACATCGTATCCGGACGGCTGATTCGTCAGGCGGTTTAAAGTATATCACAATTCTGGAATTGCCAAACAGAAGACATAATCTGGTACAAAAACACTGTTTCCAAATTGCAGTTCAACTTCACTATGTATTCCAAAAAGAATTCTTCCGTTCAATCAAGAGCAGCACTCTTCGCATGCCGTACATCAGCATCATCGTACAGCGAGATACAGTGAAGCGAACTTCACTGATTCACACCAAGCTCACAATTTACACAAACCAAGTGATAAAGCAAAAGATGGGACGGGATTGGGTCTAATTGGAGGGAGGCAAAGAAAACGGATCTCTATGGTCAACACACAGAGTACAGAATCAGTGTGCATACATACNTGATAAAAAATGAAAAGCAAGAACGCCACTGCTGTCAGTTCGCTGCCATATCCTTCAGCGTCTCCAGCCAACCAGTTGCAGAGTATTTTGGGCCCCAATGTGGAAGACGTGAGACACCGATTCTACCTAATCGCTTCGTGAATTTCTATAAGCCTCACTTCCACGTCATCTGTTGACCTCCACGAGGTTTCCTTTTACCTGGAGTCGCAACTGCAAATAGGGCGCGGTGCGGCAGACGATGGCTGGGCATGCGCAATACGTGTACTAAACAGCGAAACCGACTAATCTGAATTCGACGGGACAAAGAATTCTCCATCGAATCATCACCAAATACGAGACGACTTACCTCAGAGTTGTTTACACATTCGCTCCATCCAACCCGCGCTAAACTACGTAAACATTGGCAGTCGAATACTTCTAGACGACGTATATCTTCCATGTGCAAATTTAAGGTCTCGTAACCATAAAGCACAACTGACCGCACACTGGCGCAGTATACACGACCTTTTAGTCTCAAAGAAAAATCGCGTCTGCACCAAAGGTGTTTCAGTATTGCGTAAGGTGCTGGAGCCTTGGAAATGCAGGCGGTTACTTCCTTGACTCTGCTACCGTCATTTGTCACGCAGCTACCTAAGTAGATGCAACATTCCATCACAACTAACTCTTGACCATCAAGCATCAATGCAGGGGTAGACGACACCCAGTCTTGTTGCATCACTTTGCACTTTGAAGGTGCAACGCGGATGCCCAAAGGAATTACAGGACTTGAAAGTCTGTCAAGAGCGCATTGCGCATCCTCCATAGATTCGAACAGGCGTACGATGTCATCAGCGTACAATGAATTACTCAACTTATATAAAGCTGCTGATTCAATATCTAAGTGTTGGAGACCACTAAGTGCGTTCTCCATTATTCCGTCTACGACGAAATTGAACAGGAATGGCGAAATAGGGCACCTTTGACGAACACCGCTCTCGATTTCAAACAACTTACTGACACCACCGTAGACCCTTACGCTACCAGAACTATGCAAGTACAGTGATCGCAATAGGTTTACATTACTTCCACGACATTCCTTTGCGAAGCAACGACCCAAGAAGAGCTTCACAGTCCACTGAATCGAAGTCTCCTTTTAGGTCAAGGAACACTGCGTTTGTTGGCCGACAATATGTATGACGCAGTTCGAGGACATGACACAGAGTGATTTGGTCCGTGCAACCGCGACCTCGTCGGAATACGGCTTGCTTTTCGCGAATATTCCTCTCCCTTAAGGAACTATCACAGAAGTCAAAATGTTTGTGATCATCGGAACTAGACTAACCCCACGGTGGTTGCGTGATCCCTTCTTGAAGATCGGGACGATCAACGATTCACCCCAGGACAAAGGAATATGATCCCCCAATCAAATGCTGTTGTACACCGTTCCAACAATGCTTTTAGTCCTCGGTTACCTTCACTTTGGGTTTGGACCTTAATTCAAGCGATTTGAAGGTACGTAGCCGCTGATGCATACGTTAGCTTCTAACACCACGGTTCATCCACTAGATTGTGACAGGTACTAAGGTGAGAGAACATGTGATAATGGGTTCTTCAAAAAGCCCACATCCGAGAACGAGTTACCCTATAGACTAGACACCAAACAACAGACACTAAATACGAGGTTATTCTCGACGAACTGGTATCTAACTGGTCACCATGAATGGATGGATAGCGGTCGCCGATGATAGCAGATGAGGCTAGAAGACGAGGAGGGTTTCGTCTGAAGGACTAATTACTCTGAAAGAAAACAAACTAATGCCAATAGAAATCATCGTGACGTAAATGGATTTGATCTGCAATCATAACAATCTGCGGACCTACAAGTATCGCTTGGCTCTGCAAGCGTTAAGGACTCCATAGTAAAGAAGTCCTAGTGGGCTTCAGCCATTAAAGCCACTTTAACACTGTACGATTTCGAAACATATCCGCGTCGGTATCACTCCACCGTCTCAAAAACAATGTGTCTCATTCATATTTTGTGGTGTTAACTCCGGAGTATTAGTAAAACTTTCAGGTAACAAGATCCCAAATGTTTTCTATTGAGTTCAAGTCTGGGCTGTTTGAGAGTCACGCCATATATTGGATGCTATGAAGTAATAACTAGCATTTTGTTAAATACAAGTAATTAACTACGGCAATACCATGCTGAAAAATGACGTTAAGGAGCATTTGATGCTACTACTTACATAAAGCACTCCTCAAATGGAATAATATATGCACCAGAATTTTGCGGTCCATGCATTATAGCGAGTTCCGTAGGGTCTATCATCTATCAAGCCTACCAGTTCTCAGGTAGTATAAACTGGTCTAAAACGTAAGAAAAAACAGGAGTTTCCGAGGTTCAAATTTACGTTTTCATGCCTTCTTTCCCATTTTGGTCGTAGGGCGCAATTAATTGCACCCGACAGGCTTTTATTTCGATTGAATCCACATTAGTTATTTACGGTGAAGGTAAATACCAATTGATTACGAAAAATTTCAACTCACCGTACAATCCAATCCACAATCAATTATGTAGCGCACGTCATCAAACGACATACAAGACTCTGTGATATTGGAAGATAAAATCTGAGATGATAGGGAAAAAACACAATATAGGAAAAGATAAGAGGTTTTATCTTGTTTCCGAACAATAAAAAGACACAAACTGGACAATAAAAATTAAGAACAAATACTGCGAACGAACTATGCAAAACGGGAAGAACGTAGGTACAACATCTTTGAAGTAGGCTCACAATTTTGCGATATCCATCCGGCGGTTTGGCATAAACACGGGTCAGATCAGCCACAAGCATTCGCGAATGCAGGATTAGGACAATATGCTTGCTAGATGAAACACAGGAAGGATAACTGAACAGATTCGTAAATCATCCGGTACCGAACTCTCGTACAACAAGAACCTTTTTACAACTTAGAAAAACAATTTTTGATGCAAACAAATAGATCGACTTTTGTTTGATAAAACATTTTTTGCTCATCATGAAGATGGAGAAAAGTAGACACGCTTGCTGTTCCTTGATATAGTCATGAAACTAAAGCTCCCGTGCAGGGTTGGCAAATATTTATTTCGAAAAAGCGATACTGCCTATCTACAAATTTTAGTCACTATTACCACTCAGGTGTTATTCAAATGGGTAAAAGTAAACATAAAACTCCAAAATGTTTCAATCTTTATGGAAAATCTGTACAATAAATTAACTTTCTTATACATTTACGAGTAGCATCGACCGGATGGTTATATCATCCACACCTCAAACATATATATTGCTCCAAACAAAAAGGAGATCTACTGAATACTCAGAATTATTCCCAACACAAATTGTAATAAACCGAAACTAACCGGTTACGAGTTCTTGGAATAACCGTGAAACTCAAGTTTGCTTGATCAAATGAACCAATAACTAGGTAAAATCGTGGATTTCGCGGGAAGGTTAATCAAAACCACTGTCGGAATCGGGAAAGTTCGAGATATCGACGCAATAGACCAACTCGATCAGGTTTACTATGTGAACATCAATGATCAAAATGTCGCGAATTTAGGATAAGTTGCATTTCCGAATATCAAGTTATTCGTCGCGAGTTTGAGTTCATTCGTGTTTAAAATTGAACAAAAAAGTGCACAGCTTTGCGAAAATCTACTGAGCAGCGATAGGAGTCAACTAGGACATCATACGATTATTGAAATCACTCACGAGCGGTGGCCCCATGGCGATAGATCTTGACTGATGAGACGTTCACGTAGGTATATTATCTCTTCATATGATGGTAGAAAAATCAATATGCTACCTGAAAAAACGTGAGCCAAATCATTCAACGGAATTAGTAATTATTCGTTTATATCGAAAGATACAAAAAATGGTCTAAAAGTAGTGCCAATGACCGAAACAGTCTGCCTTGGTAAGGTTCATGTGTGCTCTCCGTTCATTGGTTATTCATGCTTCATGAAGTCAGATGATTCTAAAAAACGTTTATATATGATAACAATAATAATAATAATATTAATAATAATAATAACCATTATATATATAATCTCGTTCAAAGGTAAACTAATAAGAACAAAGTGGGAATTATATATCAAGAATGACTTCGACAGAATCTTCCAATGGGTATCCGTCACACCCACCGAATTAGAATTATGAACAGAATACCGGCTTTACGCATTCTGTATCACAACAGTTCCCCTCTCGTCTGCCTGAACAAACGGAGTGGGAGTTACCAAACTCACGCTGAACCCATTGTACATAGTAACGAGCGATCCGTACTGATAAACATTCAGTGGCCAATGTAATTTTAGAGCTGCCAGAGGCTTCAAACGTGTTAAAAAAAGCCAATAATCTCAATTTAACAACCACCTATCAGCAGCCCAAATGCAAACACTGCTTCGACATACTAAGCTACCTGGAATGTCATTGTGCGCCTTCGCAAGATAGAAATCGTGCGATTTCGTTTTGTTGATTTAACAGAATTTCTCTCACAAAAGCCGCATCGCCTTTGTTAATCTTGCCTTTGATCGATTTTCGAAGAGTGAAAAAAATCAATAATTCGGAATTGAGTGCTATGTTCATCGGAGAATTTTAGAGTTGACGTATTAATTGCTATGATCCTCTGTTAATACTTTTCTCCCTAGTTTGGAAGTCAATTTCTATATGGTTGCGACATTCCCGTCTGAAATGCATTACGAGAATGCTGGAATTTAATTTGATCAATCAGAGGTCAATCTCTTTTAGATTCACAAAAAGTCATTCTTGTCCAAATATTTTTGAACTATGGGAAACACAAAAACGAAGGCGTGATTCGGAGAGATCAATTTGAAAATGGTTATTGTGTTTCATCAAGTGCAACCCGATTGGCGAATTGAAGCGATGAATGAAGTGGATGGCGATAGTTTAAGGAGTGTTGTACAGGTTTCTGCGGTCGGTATGAGTTAGGGCTCATCAAACGAGCATAGATTTAAAGTGGTGAACATTTGCATTTTGTAGTGAATTAGATTTACTGGTTGAACTAAGGAACACTCCAATCAACGAAACCGAACAAGCTGAGCTGAAACTGAAATCTATTTTGTTAATACCAATGAAAGCGATTTTGAATCAATTTTCTAAGACATGGAAACCATGAAACAATTAACAAGATACAGGTAAAGCAATCCAACGATTTTTAGTGAACATCAGGAAACCGTGTTTTCCCAACAGTGGAGGAGTAACAGGTTATCAAATTGAGAATGAGTTTTTCAAACTACATTTTAAATGGTTGGTTCGACTACGCAAAACAATTCAGAACTTGCTGTATTCGTTATTGAATTTCGGTAGTTTGCCATTGCAAATTCAGTTCAGTTAAAAATTGGCTAAATGTAAATGGAATCATAAAAACGGAAACGGTCAGGCTATAGTAGTGTTGAGCATGCTGGGGATCATACATCTCAAAACTGCCTGAGAATTCATTAGCACAAACCCTGGCAGTTTGTGAAATGATTTCGAGAGACTACTCATGAGTAGTGCCAAAGTAAAAGGATTGTGAGAATATCGAACGTTTTTCACGTTGTAATTGCAGGAACCTGGCATAGAATTCAAACATCTTATTCAAACAATATATAGTTATATGTATACATATGGCATCTTCAAATATTTCTATACACCTTCTAATGCCCCAGACGAATACGAATCTATTTTCCTCAAAAGATACACTTAGTTCTTAAAAGACGAAGAAAGTATACTCACTTTCCGCGGATAACCACAAATAAACTTGACATCATCATCATTATTCAATGTAGCGCTCAATGAACAACCATTAACCGGTGCAAACCAACGATTACCGGTCAGTATGCAACGCAGCCATCAACAGTAGATTGGGTACGTCAAACAAAATGGATCAACCGAAATTATTCTCTGGCGCACTACGAATGCATATCGCATGGGAGGTCAACTGAGAATACGGTTCGTATTGTCGAAGCGCATGTTCAGTATGTTGAACCACATTGTGTGTACAGCGTAGTCAAAATTGGATCGTGGACACAATAGCCACGACGAACAGACCGCATATTGATGTGGTGTGATGCTTGGTAAACATCCATGACCAAACGAGCCACACATGGAAGCTTTTATCAAGAATAAGGGTTTGTTTGCAAGATCAGATGACAGAGGTTGACAGAAATCAATAGCCTGTTCCTTTAGGTTAGGAGATCTGCTGGAGTTGTTTTCTTCCAGTTGCCATGAGATCAGGTTCTTCACAGAACTGAAGGATTTGGAAGAGAACCCTAATTGTTCTCCCTTTTGGTGGTTAGCAGTATCGGTCCATCAAACTCCAATGTATACACAAATCAAACATTATTCCATAATGCCTCGGTCTACCCACAGGATAATCAGGACCGCGCTGTCCACTTCATCGAACAGGATGGTTAGTAATAAGAGGGCTCAGACATCCCAACCTTTGCCTTCGATACCCAACCTACTTTGCTCGCCCTTTATCCCAAACCGTATCATTCCATCAGAAAGCCGGCTGGTCATCTGCAAAAACCCTGTGCCAAAGAGTACTGTAAGTAGTTAACCACAAAGATATTACAGACTCTGAAGTCCCATTATTCACTGAACATGAGGAAGGAAAGCAACACCAAAAGGTGTTTGTTCATCATCTCAGCATATGTACCGACCAAAGAACAAAAAGGTGAGTTCTACGACAGCCCGCCTCCCAGGATGGGGCCCAAAGGATCAGGATTGTCGCTCGTTAGAAACACTAAGAGATATAGCCCAGAATGGTAGTCAGTGGTGCGAATGCTGTACGCTCTTTTGGTTGAATTCCCGTGCCCCATACAAAAAACGATAATCTTATACGAAAATATCAAAAAGTGTACGGTGAAAGAAATAAACAAATTGTTATTCTCGTTATTCAACTTAACTATCCGACACCCTTTTACACTACTTTTACCCCAAAGCTCATCTTTTGTTCTTCTTGCTGTTGCATTAGCACCAAGCTTGCTCGCAAGCCTATGTGATATATATTTACAACAAACACAGAACTAAGTTGATTGATCCGAAAGCTCCAAGTGATGGTATATGCGAGTGATTTAAACGCACAGGTTGCAAAACCGAACGCTTCAGACGATTGCCTAGACAATCGCGCTCTGCTCTATCAGCGAACACAACATACTACCGACTTCTTTGGTTCTGCGCAGACCACCACCTGTTGCTGTCGAGTACCAACTTCCGGTACACCTCTCAACGGACGGTAGTAAGGTAGATCAGCTCAACAGGTAAGCTGGCTCAGATTGACAACATGGCAATACATAACCGTCGCCATGGTTCAGTACAAAATTACGGATGATATTGGATCACCTGCGCTGAGAAAGATAGCATACTACTTTTGATGCGATTCACGAGCGACTTGCTGGTCACCGACAGAAACAAGAAAATTGGTCACCTCATCATCGCCTATCGGTTTCAGCAGGTATTGCATACAATGAATCCGGATTAGGGGATGAGCGAAACGAGCTGCAGTGTGATAATCGTGAAGATTACCAATGGGATCGAATCAGATCAGACGAGCAATACACTCCGCAGCGAAAGTAGCTTAAGGATCTCAGCTTCAAGCTCGTCCGAGGCATTCGATATCTGATGAGTCCGTATCAAGAAAACGACACCCCCATTGGACAGGATCGAAACAGGGGTGGGTGGCATTTGTAACTCACGCTAACGAGAACTGGTGATCGTTAACTTAAAACGAGCCTTAGATTTAGATGACCACGAAGTCCTAATGGATACGCTTAATCGAAAAGAGACCCAAGAAGTATGCAGACTAACTGAGGTGATCATACTGACGTCGAGCGAGGTGCTGTGTCCCAGGTGAATAGTTAAATGACCAATGGCGTAGTACGTTTATTGGCAATAGATACACATATAGCCAGTTTCTATGCTGTTGGGTATGCACGAGAGCAAGTATGTACGCGGGCAGGCAGGCCGACAACTGGCTCGCACTTTACATGAGACTCCAATGTTGCAGCAGGAAGCGTCCACGAAACAATCAAATAGGTCATAATAAAGAACGGAAAAAATTGCAACTGTAGGTTTAAAAGGAAATAAGCAGCTGGTTTGTCAAAAGCAGCGGCATTCGTCAATGTTACTAGATTTCACCATTCCTGTTCGATATGTTCGAAGTTGAAATACCGGGGAATGCACTAAATGGTCTTCAAAATGTTGATATTGAATGGGTAGCTGAAAAAAGCTATGCAATTCGCAGTACGCGGAGGAAATCATTTGCCTGTTCTAATTTTCGGAGAAAGCTCAAAACGCAATTGCCAGACTGAAAATTTCTTTTCTTCTGTGCGATATGCGCTTTGCTTCTTCAAAGAGCAAAGAAATGTTGCAAGAATTGGTATCGATTACTCCTGTTCTGAAACTAGATAGTCAAGAATTGGATGCTTCTCGTATCTCAGTAGTCTTATGACTAACGATAGTAGCGCAGTAAGCGATACAATCACACGCATTCCCAAGGTGGGAATAGTGTACGCAGTGTGTACGCACCTGAGGCGAGGACGTAAGATTTAATGAAGTTGAAATAATAAGTGTACGTCGCCATCGTTCGGGCAGTCCTGCTTTAGGGTTGTGAGACCTTGATTTTGCGAGTATAAAAAATCCATCGCCAAAAGATTTTCGGCAATCGATTTCTTCTACCAGCAGACTCAAGGTTTCAAATCATAAACCAGAACTGACTGAATGTCGGTACAGTACACGCAACTTTTCAACTTCTTTAAAATGCCACATCACCGCCACAGATGCATTAGTCCGGCGTACAATGCTTCAACTTTGGAAGTGCGTGCGATTATCTTCCAGATAAGGGGCAAATACTCCATTTCTGGTTGTTTGTATTCACATAATGACGCAACAGCTAACCGATAACAGTGTTGTTCTTGTTTTCACTTTTTTATCAGAGCAGAATGAACTGTACATGCACAGTTTAAGTGTGCAAACTGCATGTGGATCCCAGAGATTCACTTAGTTTATACTACCCTGAAAATAGGTTTGATCTCTTTTCGCCTTACATATTATCAAATAACTTGCGTGCATTGTTTCGTAGCGAAGTTCACTTCGTTGAATACTGTTTAAGAGCGCTTTTGGAATAATCATGTGAACAATTTATGAATAGTCTAGTGTGTTCGTCGAAAAGTCATGAACTTTCTTCTTAAGAAAAGCTATAAACAGGGTCTCACTGAGATACTTGTTGAACAAATGAGCATAAAGGAAACAAATGAGGTGAAGTGATTTTTTAATGCAGAAAAACAAGCACCCCCATGAGACAGTTCGAATCCAGATACCTAAGCGCAAACAAAAACCTCATTAGGTCAGTAAAAGTGCCGCGACAAATATCAACGCAGTTGTTGCTTCACAACCAAAGTTGCTGATTCCATTGTTAAATCTGCGCTAAGATAAAACAGGTTCGAAGAGCCATTTCCGCTCGCTGCATTCCGAGCGTAACACTTGACGCAGCTGAATAGGAAACTCACCTTCGGGTACACACATATCCAATTTGGTCAGTAGTNAGTAGTATCACGAGTAAATCAAAATCCACCACGGTCTCCGGATGCAAGCCATTTCGGGCGACAAGATAGGTTGTGATTAATCCGGTTCCAGGATCAGACGGATTCAAATTCATTTCACCGGTGAGTGTGTCATTGTCCGCATCTGGCGTGCTAGTAACCCCGTCGTGCTTATCCACAGTATTGCATTGGTTAAACGGGGATGAACAGATTGCGCTGTCGAACCATGCACCGAATCGATAGAGCACTGCTTCCCAGTTCTCGGGAACATGTCGCAAACTGTGGGCAGCCCTGGGAGGGGTAAAACGGTAATTTCACAAAACTCTATGGAAAGACATGATATATCAAAGTTTGCAGCGTAAGAAGATGAATAAGTGAATGACAATGGTCTTCAATTGTGGTAACAAGAGGTTTCCTCATTGTACTTATTGAAACAGACTTTCAGAATTCCATTTACTTTGAAAGAGCGATTTACGCAATGTGAGACGGCAATCAGCGCCTCACGGATAAAACCGTTGTTTGCATAACTAACATATGCTGTTTTAATTGATTAACAACCTGAAAATGTCGATATGGGAGAGATGATGCTTTTTGTTTATCTTACTGGAATGGTGATTACTGCTGACCTGCTAAAACCATGGCACGCACAAATCCGTCAAAGTAAACTTCTTGGTTAGCGGAATACTGGCAGCGTGTTGACACCGATAATATTGTGGTTCATTCCGGAATAAGTACTACACATAGGTGGTAAACGACTTCTAATAACCGTTTCCGAAGGTATATCTCACCACATCGGCTATCTGTGAATCAGTACGTCAGAGACTTGACATCAAGGGAACGTAAACACTGGCATTCAAGTGTTTTCTGTACAAAACGTCCCGGTTACTTCGGTTTACCGAGGCGGTTGCCTCAAAAAAGACGGAAACCCGAAACGTGTATGCAGAAGGATTTATTTGCAACACCTAGCCTGCTTTGATAAAAAGACAAACGAGTTTAACACAACCAGCTCAGCAGGTTTAAGTATACTCTTTTAATGACTTATCTCTTTTGACTGTAGTGCGTACCTGCGGGGAGAAAGAAAAACTTTTCTTGCCACCAGCTTTTTTGTTGCAAATAAAAGACTACTACCCGTGGTGGCGAGAATAACTAAGAATTCAGATGATACTCTCGCCTCTCCCTCAACTAGTTTGAACAGATCACCATGGATTGTGAGTTGAGTTGAGATAAATAACCAATATATATATATATATATCACTTGTCTCAGGACAGACTGTGTGCCAAATAAATCATGATACAATAATATTTGAACCAATATATAGATTCGGTTATCTTGAAGCATAGCACGCAACATTAGTATAACAAGGGGAGACGTTTTTCAAAAGACTTTTCTTTGTTGAATTGGTGTGATACGCTTTTGCGGGAATCGCTCACTGCGACCGACAGCCCGTGAGTCTTTCACGGTTCGCTGCACACCATACGGTCGTCGTCACTAGAGACGGCTGAGATTTGAATTCCACTGCAAAATCAATAGATGGCCGTCTTTGCTGAGCGTTCAATGCGGGCTTCAGATCAGCTAAAACATGACGCATTTCAAACGTTTTCACATTACTCTTCAGCAGAGAGTAAGAATGACGGAGAATATTCTCCCTTTGGACTACAAATAAGCATTTAGAGATACTTTTAAGGGTAATCCAAGCACAAATCATCATTTTGTTTCGATATGCTTGGTTTGCTGCTTCCACAGGATGTTTCTTCCATGAATTATACCTTAAATAGTGTTTGTATTCAAGTTGAAGCGTTACGCATAATTCGATATGAAAAAAATCAGCCTTATGCGAGTTAACAAGTTGAACAGCGTCCTCCATATCCAAATTCTGAGAACCTCTGGTTTCATCGACACCTTCCTTCATTATCACAAGGAAAACCAGCAAACTGTTCCAAGTGGTCTTAGTTTTAGGGCCAAGTTTGATGCTGATGAGAATTCGTTTGGTGATTTATGAATCTCTAACAGCTAATAGCAAAATTGGATCCTCTAAATAAGGAAAGAATATTCCTTGGTTCTTTTTACAGGGGCACAATTATGGTTGACATAGGAACTGAAGTAATTATTTACACCGTATAAAAGTGAAGGTGTTTATGTTGATCTGTTCTCGGAGCTGGAAGTGTATAGCGTACAATGCGCATAGACACACTTACATGTGTTTCGATAATATGGAAGCTACTTGACGATGACCGAACGATCGGGCCAAATCGTATGCATTCATACCCACTACCATGTAGTTTTCATCCCCAAACTGAATACGTCGATGTTTCGGTCCCATCAGCTTGAAATCAGCATCTTTTAAACCACGGTTACGGGCTTGGAGGACCTCGTAGGGTATTGGGACACGAAGAAACACATCCGCACCAAAACCGAGCAAACGATCGACCGAATCTACCAAGCCCGCAGCTGCACAGACCATCAACGCTGTCAGACCTGAGTTCAGGAAGTGATTAGATCATGCGGTAACATATCGGGTTACGAGGAGTGTAAATGATGTAAAGCTTAAGGTAACGATGAAATAAGCTAGTTACGAAAAGGCAATGAAATGAGAAGAGCATGAACAAGGATGAAAAACTATGCAACATTCGGACCTCCACAAGATACTTCTGGACAACTAGAAATAAAACAAAAGATGCAACAACTGACTAAAACATAAATTTCCTCAAAATAATGACACGCGGGGTAAACGCTGGAAGTTCCCAATTCCCCCTCCCCTAAGAGAAGAAAAAAATGGTGAAAGCTGCTTCATTAGAAGATATTCTGGGTGTTGCTTCCCCCAATGATACATATGCAACTGCTCCTAAGATAATCAGAATGGAAACGCCTCGCGCATTACAAGAAAACTGATACGCGAAATCATTTGAAGAAAGGAAACCTTACGACAATAACAAAGCCAGAGTCATTTAGCACGAAAAATTGCATTTCATTCGTTCGATTTTAACTCACTCGACAGATTTCCACAAAAACCGTTAAGTCCTGGCAAACCGAGCGAGTCGGAAAGCACATAAGCTCGTGCGGCTTAAAACTAAGCGTGTTTTCCCAACGTATACGAACGATGCGCAACTTAGAACACTATCCAAGGACAAATAAACCTCTTCATCGCCTCACATGTTTCCTTTTGTGTTATCCAAACTCAGTTGTGTAAAATGAATTGTTGAAACCTAACTACAGCACATTCAATGGGAATTAACCAATCCACCAGTGACGTTGCTGAAGGGAGCAACATCTCATCATACAACGTTTTGCTGATAGATTGAATCATGCGTAGTATATAACAAGAGTTCGTATTTGTATCACTTATGTGAGCTTACATACATCAGACGTCAAACAGAATAAAATATACAAATTCATTAACAGCCTCTTCCTTGCTAGTTAGGAGTCAGGCCAGATAGGGTAAAGGGGCATGCGAATTAATGTTGATAGGAGAAGGTAGATAGCGAAAAGAGGGACGCGTAGACGAGTGGGAACGATAAGAAGGTAAATCAAGATGCAACAGAGGAATGGCTTTATCTAGAATTTTACTGTTGGAGAAGAGTTGATGTGACCATTATTAAGTTCTGTTGTTAATTAATAAACCAAAATCACGGATATTTAGATGATTATCACCAAAACACGACGAATGATCTTGGATTCTGGCTGGGAAACATCACAGAGGAATAACAGAATAAAACTGAAAAAAGCGCACTGGTGAGCGTACGAGGATAAAACTGACTGACGGGTTCGAAAACACTTGAAATTCCGTAGCTCAAAGGAGAGAGGTCTCAGTTTTTCCATAGGATTATGAACCCTTTGGAAGACTGGAGAAACTTGACCACTTCGTCATTAGAAGATCGCACTGAATCTTAACTGTTAGTAACAAACTCACATCGAGCTCATTGAAACTTCATTAGCTTCCAAAAGCCTCAGTAAGGTCGGGGGTAAATGTCTCGGGTTGTGGCTACACCTTCAATTGCACCTCGCAAAATGCCCCAATTCAAACAAGCGTATCAAATAACCTCTACTGAGGAAGCCCTACTCTCTGCCTCCACGTAGCATAGATGTTTTCCCATCAAATCGAGAGGTCGAAAAGCCAACATCCGGGTTGGTGAAACACAAACAGAACACCTAGGGGGGAGTTGACTAAAAACCCTTTTTCTAAACCAGCCAAGAAGAGCTGAACTAACAACACACCTTCCTGATGGTAACAGTTGTCACCGTCTCGACAGGGCATAGAGGTGTACTAGGCATCCTGGATGTCTGACCCCGTCTCAAGAGCTGATGAACTGGAAGCCAGAACCCAATGGATTGCGATTTTCAAACACTGCCCCGCTACCATGCGAGTCAGACTAGTCAAAAGATTCAGTTGAGAATCTACCAGAAAAACTCACCTTCTTTGGCCTAGGCAAACTAGCAGAATTGCTCCCTCGAACAAGGAAAAGGATTTTTTTCTTTTTATTATCGATCATTGTGCACATTTGAGATCGATTGATATTTTTATTTAATTGATAGATAGCTCATTGATTATTGTATAGATTGTGACGTAACTTGTTTGGTAAGGGATCTGGATTCAGACGTGTGTACA